TCCTGGTTCGAATCCAGGCTCTGTCGTAGCCGGCCGCAACTGGGAGACCCATGGGGCGGCGCACAATTGGCCCAGCGTCGTCCAGGGTAGGGGAGGGGAATGGCTGGGATGTAGCTCAGTTGGTAGAGCATGGTGTTTGATTGTTGGTTGTGGGTTCGATTCCCACGGGGGGCCAGTATGAAAAATAAAATAAATAATGTATGCTGGATAAGAGCGTCTGCTAAATGACTAAAATGTAAATGTAGTATCTGAAGACTGCTGTTGACACATTGGGCATCAGGTTCACCTTCTGAGAGGGAACTTGTGCAAGGGGTCTATGTGGTACAGAGTGTGTGTGTCTCTAGCACAGTAGTGTATATGTATGTGTATAGGAACATTCCCAGAACATTAGCTAAGATTCCCATTAAGTTCTAAGGGTTGTATCTAACATTCAAATGATAACATCCCAAAAAAACATGTTTTTCAAATAAAATATCATTGGAATGTTCTCCTAACATTCACCTTAAATATTGTGCACAACATCTGGAACAACCAGAACATTCCCCCAAAGTTCTAATTAGGTTTCCAAGTAATGTAATAACACAATGTACCAGTAATGTTTTCCCAGCAAACCAAAATTGGTTCTGGAAAGTTCCCAAAACATACATTAGGTTGCAGCAAATGTTCTCATAACACAAAAACATTGAAAAAACATTCACTTCTAACAAGAATGTTATCAGAACACATTTTGTCTGTTCTTTAAAGTACCCAGAATGTTTTTTTAGGTTGTGGGAACATTGTGGGGTTATGACAAGATATAGGTTCCCAAAACACTAAAACTGTCCAGTTGTGCTGACATTCAGATAATGTTTGTATCAAGGTGCACAAAACATTCCTTTGATGTTGCAATAATGTTGACAGAACAGCCTTTCTGAGTTCTTTAAAGGTTCCCAGAACATTTAATTAAGTTATGGGAGTTGTCTGAGATGTTGCAATAATATTATTGTGATATTCACATAAGTCTGTTTTTATGACGTTCATAGCATATTTGTTTTAGGTTTAACATAATATTCCATTGACGTTCACACTATATACATTTACCTTCTCTTGGAGGTCCTCAGATCATTTCAAGAACATTTAGAAAATGTTATATTTAAGTTTTACCTAATATTACCACAACATTCTCAGCATGCAAATGTGTAGCTCTTTAAAGCATATTGGAATACATCTCCATGATGTTTCTATCCAGATAAAAATGGTAATTCACATTTGAGGACTGTATTGTAGGTGATATAGAGACACATGGTATTTTAATTTAATTCATAGGACATTTGAACAGCATTTAATCATACAGACGCAACCAGATGTTTTCCACTTCATATGTTGACAATCTGCACATTATTTAATTCATAGGACATTTGAACAGCATTTAATCATACAAACACAACCATATGTTTTACACTTCATATGTTGACAATCTGAACATGTGGGGTTTGAACCTGCAATGTTTGGTTCCCAAGCCAGGTCTTTTATCCCAAGCCAGCATTCAATCATACATCCCAGACATCCGCACAACTGGACAGTTTTTGTGTGTTGGGCATATCTATTGTGATGTCCCCACAATGTTCTTACCAGACTTTTCTCACAACCTAAAGAAACATTCTGGGAACCTTTAAAGAACAGATTAAATGTGTTCTAGGAATGTTCTTGTAACATCAGGCGAATGTTATATACAAACATTCTATAATCATCAGTACGACTGGACAGATTTAGTGTTATGAGAACATTGACCACGACCTAACGAATGTTCTGGGAACTTTCACAGAACCAATTTTGGTTTGCTGGGTATATTCTGTGGTTCTTGGTGTATCAATGTAATGTAAGTATGTGTGTGTGTTTACGAGGAAAAGTGTAGGCTATGTCTAAGTCACAGGAGGTTGGTGGCATCTTAATTGGGGAGGACGGGCTCGTGGTAATGGCTGGAGCGGAAAAAGTGGAATGTTATCAAATACATCAAACACATGGTTTTCATGTGTTTGATGCCATTCCATTCGCGCCGTTCAATCCATTATTATGAGCCGTCCTCCCCTCAGCAGCCTCCTGTGGTCTATTGTGCACAGATTGCGTGTGTGTTTGTGTAGTACAGTAAGTGTGAGTCTGAGACACAGTAGTCACCATGAGGGAGGAAGTGGTGGGCAGCCCCACCTTTCATCACGGTGCTAATGAGCCCCGGGACACGCCAGGCTGGAAACAGTAGCATTGTTCTCCCCGCCCTGCTTAACAGCTCCAACGCGGCTTCTGACTAACTCTCTCTCTCTCTCTCTCTTTCACACACACACTCATACGCACACACACTAACATACACACACATACAAACACACACACACGTATGCACGCACGCACACACACACACACACACACACAGACAGACAAACATATTGTAATTTGCACTCTCACACACTCAGACATTTTCTTAATGCAAGCGATTTCTTGCCCTCTCTCTCCCTCTCTCTCTCTCTCTCCATACATGTGCTGACTATGGTTTGCAGGTCAGCGTTGAAGCACATACAGTGGGGAAAAAAAGTATTTAGTCAGCCACCAATTGTGCAAGTTCTCCCACTTAAAAAGATGAGAGAGGCCTGTAATTTTCATCATAGGTACACGTCAACTATGACAGACAAAATGAGAAAAAATAATCCAGAAAATCACATTGTAGGATTTTTAATGAATTTATTTGCAAATTATGGTGGAAAATAAGTATTTGGTCAATAACAAAAGTTTCTCAATACTTTGTTATATACCCTTTGTTGGCAATGACACAGGTCAAACGTTTTCTGTAAGTCTTCACAAGGTTTTCACACACTGTTGCTGGTATTTTGGCCCATTCCTCCATGCAGATCTCCTCTAGAGCAGTGATGTTTTGGGGCTGTCGCTGGGCAACACAGACTTTCAACTCCCTCCAAAGATGTTCTATAGGGTTGAGATCAGGAGACTGGCTAGGCCACTCCAGGACCTTGAAATGCTTCTTACGAAGCCACTCCTTCATTGCCCGGGCGGTGTGTTTGGGATCATTGTCATGCTGAAAGACCCAGCCACGTTTCATCTTCAATGCCCTTGCTGATGGAAGGAGGTTTTCACTCAAAATCTCCCGATACATGGCCCCATTCATTCGTTCCTTTACACGGATCAGTCGTCCTGGTCCCTTTGCAGAAAAACAGCCCCAAAGCATGATGTTTCCACCCCCATACTTCACAGTAGGTATGGTGTTCTTTGGATGCAACTCAGCATTCTTTGTCCTCCAAACACGACGAGTTGAGTTTTTACCAAAAAGTTCTATTTTGGTTTCATCTGACCATATGACATTCTCCCAATCCTCTTCTGGATCATCCAAATGCACTCTAGCAAACTTCAGACAGGCCTGGACATGTACTGGCTTAAGCAGGCGGACACGTCTCGCACTGCAGGATTTGAGTCCCTGGCGGCGTAGTGTGTTACTGATGGTAGGCTTTGTTACTTTGGTCCCAGCTCTCTGCAGGTCATTCACTAGGTCCCCCCGTGTGGTTCTGGGATTTTTGCTCACCGTTCTTGTGATCATTTTGACCCTACGGGGTGAGATCTTGCGTGGAGCCCCAGTTCGAGGGAGATTATCAGTGGTCTTGTATGTCTTCCATTTCCTAATAATTGCTCCCACAGTTGATTTCTTCAAACCAAGCTGCTTACCTATTGCAGATTCAGTCTTCCCAGCCTGGTGCAGGTCTACAATTTTGTTTCTGGTGTCCTTTGTCAGCTCTTTGGTCTTGGCCATAGTGGAGTTTGGAGTGTGACTGTTTGAGGTTGTGGACAGGTGTCTTTTATACTGATAACAAGTTCAAACAGATGCCATTAATACAGGTAACGAGTGGAGGACAGAGGAGCCTCTTAAAGAAGAAGTTACAGGTCTGTGAGAGCCAGAAATCTTGCTTGTTTGTAGGTGACCAAATACTTATTTTCCACCATAATTTGCAAATAAATTCATTAAAAATCCTACAATGTGATTTTCTGGAGAAAAAAATTCTCAATTTGTCTTTCATAGTTGACGTGTACCTATGATGAAAATCACAGGCCTCTCTCATCTTTTTAAGTGGGAGAACTTGCACAAATAGTGGCTGACTAAATACTTTTTTTCCCCACTGTACCTAACAGATATGGCAAGGTAGCGTAGTTCTGTGAGCTCTCTGGTCAGGATAAACTTCCACCTCTGTAAAAAGCTGTGAAGTTGTTGCTAAGTGTTCTGCCAGTGGACTGGCATACTGTGCTGAAAAATCTGGTCAGCTTTGTCCAAGCCTGTCTGTCTTACTGCTTTCAGATAGACACATCCGTCTCTGGTCCACTCAGTCTCAGCCAGGACAACACTACATTAGACCAGCTCTATCATTATGTTACTGTATATACTGTCATTCTGATATGAGTGATGATGGCCCCGGATAGTCCTGACCAAAACTGATCCTGACCAATAAACACCCTGCCTGTATCTCAAGGTATTGTAGCCATGCTACTCTCTCTCTCTCTCTCTCTCTCTCTCTCTCTCTCTCTCTCTCTCTCTCTCTCTCTCTTTCTCTCTCTCTCGTAATTACTGGAAACCATTCTCAGAATGAATCTGCCCTGATTTGATCAAAATAGCTCATCTCTTGGACGGAGGACAAGAGTGGGCGAGGAGATGTCTGAGGTTTGGGGGGGGCTAACATTTTAAATGGTGTGATGCGGTGTGGTTAGGAAAATAGATCTGAGATAATGCATTGTGGGATAGTGGAGCAGAAAGTCCCTGAAGTTTCTGGCTACCACAATGGCATGCTGGGAAGGATTGGAATTGGGGGGGGGTGGACTGCTTCCTCCCTAAACGTTGGTGTTGATGTCTGGGAGCTTCTGTAAGGAAATCCTCCTCTGTGACTGTTCCTTGGGGAGCAGGCGTTTTTCATGCTGTAGGAACAAGGATCACATTGCCTTCACATGTCAGCCCTGTCCTGCCTACAACCCTTTGTCTGATGACCTCCTCCAACCTTGCTATTCCCACCTGGCCAATAAAGAGCTTCCCTGAGTTTCAGAGGTTAATTCTCCGGCAGGTCTGACTGCGGATGGAGAAGGGTATGTGGTTGAGTGGTTTAACACATGGGCATGGCTGAGCAAGGCACGGCAAGAGGGTGGGGTGAAATGTGACGGGTAGTATGAAATTAGATCTTCAAAGGTAGAAATTCATATTTATGGTTTGGCAATAGCCAGAGTAACTTTATCTTGGGAAGAGTTGTTTTCAAAAGAGTACCGAAAGTGTATGCACTCCTCTTTGATTCCAGCAATATTTTCTTTGGTCAAGTATTGGCATCCTTGCTAGACCCAAGTCCAGGTGGCTGTTGGGGTAAGATTTCCAAACCATCTGAATGCAGAAATATCCTGCTGTGTCCCACTGGTGGGGCCATGGTTGGAGCATATGTATCCACTCCCAGTCATTTGAAAGAAACCTCTGTATTGCTGATCCAGGCTGAATATTGTATCCAGCTATTCACTGTTCATACTGTATTTACTCAGAAATGAATATGTTTTAATGAAACCCTGGTGATTGCCCTCAAGCCTTAGTTTGGGGATGTTATGGGCCAATGTTTCAACTAGTTCTGTGCAAGGCCCTAGGTCTCCTCATTGACATGCAGTCTAATGTCTTATATTATTTTAATTTCTCTTTCTCTCTCCCCCCAGGGACCTCAGGAGCAACCTCATCAGCACCATCATGCCTGGAGCCTTCCAAAGTTTATCTAAACTTCGGAAGCTGTAAGTGCATACAGTATCAGCTCTGTTTTCATTATATCTTGTGCACTGTAAACAGTCATATTACGTATATAAATAGTGGGTTTAGTTGCCACGGTTTCCCTGCATGGCTCTGTATTGAGTATTTTCAAAACCAGCACACATAGTCACAACATTTTATGACACATAAAACTGTATGTAAAAGCCTGGCTGGCTCAGAGATGTGTTGTGGATGACTGTGCTAAGTGTATGTGCTGGTCTGTGCTGATCTCTGTGGGGCCTGGGATGACATGTCTAGTGCCCTGCTCTGCCGCCATGGAAACCTCAGGGCCACGCAGAGGCTCCTCACACGTCATTGGATGTGACAGGGCAGCAGTTTGCGGTCGCTCGTAGCTCACTCATTGTGTGTTTGGACAATCGGCTCTGGTCCTCTGCCCTGCGCTGCATGACTCTCTTTTCCCCTCCCTGAACTGCTTGTGTTTTCCCTGCAAGGTCTGGGGCTTTTCAAAACAAACAGGGAGAGATAAAGACACACTCTCGACAGCTCTCTGCTGGGTTTTGTCAGGGGGACAGTGGAACAAGGCTCACTCTGACACTGTCCTTATACCATGCAGACACAGCATGCAGGGGCTGCAGAGTGCATTTGCTCCTTCTTTGGTGATAAGGCTTTACAAGAGGCTCTATGGTCTATGTCGATAAGGAAGATTCACAGGTCACGAGAGTGTTGCAAAATTCAAATTCCTTATCCTGCTGTGTTACACACTGGCTAGTTGAATGAATGGAAATTGTGAAAGATGTGCCTACAGGCCAAGAAACCCACTTTGGATAAGACTTTGTTATTGTAAACAAATTAAAATAAGAAGCGGAAGTCTATTGGCCAATGTGCTGGAGAAGCCAGTTGTTCCCAATGAGATCACAAAAACAACATGCAGAGTGTCAAGATTAGGGTTGCAAAGGTACCGGTAATTTACCAAAGTTACCGGAATCTTAAGTCATTTTGGTAATTTATACTTGAATAACTTTTTTAATGAAGAAAGTACCTAATGTGCAATGGCATTATTTTCAATGAACTTTGCAACTCTTCCAACTAATTACTTTTTTCACAATAGCCATCAGTTTGACAACAAAACATTGACAACAAATACATATTGACATAGTCAAATAAATAAAGGTTTGTACAAAATATATATGAAGGATATTTCATGCTGTAACCCTCATTTAAACACCAATGGTATTCATTAAGTTGATGGTTTATATATAGGATAATGTTTTACAGCTTTGTCATTCTATTTTGTATTTAAAAAATTATTATTCACCGCTGTGCTCTCACTGTCCTTGTTATCTCTCCTAGTGACCTGTCCAACAACCGCATTGGCTGCTTGACTCCAGACATGTTCCAGGGACTCACCAACCTCACCAAACTGTAAGCAGCCTAAATGACTGACCATAAAGCAACACATCCTAGTGTAGTATTGTGGGTACCTAGTACAGTGATCATGATTACACATCTGTCTGTTTTCTCCTGTTAGGAACCTCTCTGGGAACATCTTATCTACCTTGGACCCGGGGGTCTTCCAGGAGATCCCCTCTCTTAAGCTTGTGTGAGTACTGTTCACTGCTCCTAACTGTCATCACCTTTTTCACTGTTTGCTCCAGACAGATGTTTGCATAATCTTCGTAAGCGATATAAATGCAATCTAGGCAATCTGATCACATTTTTCTCCCAATAGGCTTAGTTCAAGCAATGGACAGCCTTTTGTCACATCTGACATGTTGATCCTATAATGGACCACCAGAGAATAGATCTGAACTGTTGGGCAACATGCCGTTAGAGGGAAAGTGACCCGCTCCTCAGTGTAATCTCCCTTGATGAATGGTGTTGTAAAATTCCCTGCTTTTTCTCACCAGGAACTTTAACTCTGACTTTCTGTCATGTGACTGTGGGCTGCGCTGGGTGCCGGGTTACTTTCGCACCAGTGCAGCCTGGCTGGGGGACGAGACCATCTGTGCCTATCCCAGGAACCTCCATGGAAAGCTCCTGCGTGAACTGAGGGAAAGTCAGCTGAGCTGTGGTGAGTGTGTGACAGGAAATTGAATGCATATGAATGCGGTGGTTCACCACTATCACCCCTCAAATAGTATGAAAACTTGACAATATGAATGACAGAGTAATCGTTTTCTCATGCTGATATTATGAGATGTCCCTAATCTGTTAGGTAGGTGTCCCCTGTAGCTCAGTTGGTAGAGCATGGCGCTTGCAACGCCAGGGTTGTGGGTTCGTTTCCCACGGGGGGCCAGTATGAAAATGTATGCACTCACTAACTGTAAGTCGCTCTGGATAAGAGCGTCTGCTAAATGACTAAAATGTGTTTGTGAAAAGTAATAAGCTGTGAGTGAGCAAGTAGAAACACATAAGAAGCGCAATAAAAACGCAAAAGACCAATGTTTTGCTATCTCCAATGACCTGTTTTCTATTGTTTTTCCTCTTCCACTCAGTGGGCTGTCTTTCCAAGTGCGCCAGCTAGCTTTGTTGTGCTTCCTCTGCGGTCAGCCTTTATGAATTGTGGCTGTCTGCATCCAATATTCCTAAAAAAGCAGGCTCATAATGGCTTCATCTGAAATATTTAGCTGAGGTTGTGTAATGAGAGAGCAGCAGAAGTAACCTAGAGTGATTTGTTATGGTCTCATCTGCCTTCCCTTCTCCTGGCTGTGCTGTGTATTCCTTTCCTCACTCAGACGGGCCTCTGGAGCTGCACACCCTGTCTCTCCTACCCTCCCAGCGCCAGGTGGTCTTCAGGGGGGACCGGCTGCCCTTCCACTGCACCACCGCCCTGGTGGACAAAATCACTGCGCTGCACTGGCGCCACAACGGCCAGCTGGTGACCTCTGACCCTGAACAGGGCGTCAGTCTAGAGGCCAGCGTGGTTCATGACTGCACCTTCATCACCAGGTAATGTTACAGTACTGAGGGGTCCACTGGTATATTTGTCGTTCCCAGCACTGTCTTCTTACCTTTCATTGTACTCCTCAATTATGTCTTATTTTCATGTTTTCAGTATAAGGTCTAAGTGAAATATGTTTTTGATTTAGTAATATGTTTGGCCAGTGTTTGGTTCACACAAATTGACGAAAAAAACAACACTGTTTGTTTAGTTTCTGCTGATAGGACATGTTGTGTAGTGTGCTGTCTGTGTATGTGTGATGGCAGTGACTAATGTGCTGTCTCCTCGTTGCAGTGAGCTCATCCTGTCCAACGTGCATGTGGAGGCCAGTGGAGAGTGGGAGTGTGTGGTGGCCACTGGGCGGGGCAACACCTCCCGCAGCGTGGAGATAGTGGTGCTGGAGAACAGCGCCTCCTTCTGTCTGGAGGAAAGAGTCACTAACAACCGGGGAGAGTTCAAGTAAGGAAGAAAACAATAATTCCCCTCTCCAGAAACAAAATCCACAATAATAACAGTCCTTCTGATTAAAACATGCTGCATCCTCCTCCCTTGGTGTTTTTTTCTAGGTGGCCCAGAACCCTGGCAGGTATCACCTCCTACCAGTACTGTCTGCAGCTGCGCTACCCATCCCTGTCCGTGGGTGGCGCTGTGGAGCAGAAGCAGGCATCACGATACTGTGACCGCTCAGGGAGCTGGGAGGAGGGAGACTACGACAACTGTCTCTACACCAACAACATCACGCGGGTCCTATACACCTTCATCCTGGTCAGTGCCAGGGGTTGTGCTTGGGCTGTCCCAAATTCATTTAGCCCACTACCTATGAAATCAAAGTATGATACATACTTATGGTAGTAATATTTAAATAGTTGTTGCCTGAAAGGTAAATGTGTAAAAGTAACAAAACATATGAGTTATTTGCTTTAAAATAATCATACTTCTCTCTTTTTCCAGATGCCAATCAATACCTCTAATGCGGTTACTCTGGCACATCAGGTGCGCATATACACTCTGGAGGCATCCGGTTTCACTGACACCATGGACGTGATGTACGTGGCCCAGATGATGGAGAAATTCATGGAATATGTCCGACCACTGCGAGAGGTGGACCGATGAGATCTATAAACCCTCAAAGCATGTTTTATGGGTTTTATTTTGTGTCTGCATTGTCTTGAATTGGAAATAGTTGATAGGGACTTTTTGACTTGAATATTCATGATTACCTTACGTTCGTGATTACGTTTCTTTCTGCCCCCTGTGTTTATGCGAATGCCTGTATTTTTAATGCTTGTTTTTTCATGTCTTTACCTGTGTGTATGTGTGTGTCAGCTGTCAGTGGTGCTGGTGGAGATTGGCAGTAACCTGATGCAGGTGGATAATCAGATCCTGACCCATGCCCAGAGAGAGAAGAAAGCCTGCAGCTCCATAGTCCACTCTCTGGAGACTCTGGCCTGGCCCCAGCTCCACAGCCATGCCCAGGACCTCTCCATGGTACAACAACTGTTCCATTTGAACATGTTTTTAGGTTCTATATTATTTTTACCTAACAGTCCTAAATGTAATCTGCATTGTTTTTCCCCTATAGCTCTCCAGGAACATTGTAATGGAGGCCCATCTTATCCGTCCGGCACACTTCACTGGCATGAGCTGCACAGCTTACCAACGCCGGGAGACCTTGTTAGGCAACCTTGGGATGGAGGGGGCAGAGCCCACCCACGAACAGCAGCTCCGCTTCCGCTGTACCACGGGCACCCACAACACCTCCATAAACAACTTCCCCATGAAGGTAAGCAATGTCTCTGTCTCCCTCACCCAGACCTGAACCCAACCTCACCCACAAACAGGACTGTGGTTGTGTGTCTGTGGTACAATGGCAGACAGTGCGTACGGTTCTCATTAGAGGGAACACACCTCAGGGCTTGACATACTGGAGATGGCATGGATCCGCATGTAGCACAGTCATTTACAACAGCTGACATGGAAGAGGGAGAAAATCCCTCTCTCTCTCTCTCTCTCTCGCTCTCGCTCTCGCTCTCGTTCTCGCTCTCTCTCGCTCTCTCGCTCTGTCTCTCTATTTCTCTGTCCCTCCCTCCCTCTAGAATGCTGTAGCCCTGGCCTCTGTGGTCCTCCCTGCCTCTCTGTTCCCCCCGGACGCCCCGTCAGACTGTAAGCTCCAGTTTGTGGCGTTCCGTACAGGGAGGTTCTTCCCTTTCTCAGGGAACTCCAGCGGTCCTGGAGAGCACGCCCGCAGACACAGTGTCAACAGCCCTGTCATCTACGTAGGCCTAGGTGAGGGAGCAGCTATTACACTTTTATTACACAATTCAACAAATTTACAGAGACGGGTCAAACCTGGTTATTTTAAGATATTACATAATACAAATGTATGAGCTGGTGACAGTGATAGAGATGGTCATCTCCTCCTTTGTGTTGCAGACGGGTGCAGTATGTGGAACCACTCAGAGCCCATCTTGGTGTCCCTGCGCCACTCGATCCCGGGAAGTGACCCGGTGGCGGCCCACTGGAGCCTGCAGGCCCTGCAGCAACAGCAGGGGGGGTGGAGCCTGGAGGGCTGCCTACTGGCCCACACTGACTCTGCCACCTCCACCCTGCGCTGCTCTGTGCTCAGCAACTACGCCGTGCTGCAGGTAGGGCGAGAGCACATCCTAGGATCACTCACCCACTCTCAGAGACACATGGTGGATGTAATGTAATGATGACTCTGCACAACACGCACTGCACAACACGTCACTTCCTGTTGAACGCGGAATGAGGGAGAGCTCGGTTTGTTGTTTTGGAAAGTTTTGAAAGTCTATTGAAAAAGTTTGGTTACTAGCTAGATCCCACAATGTGGTTGGCTTCAGTTCAGGACCTCTACTATCTGTCCAGTGATCTTACCGACCAATGCCGGGTCTAAGGAGCTGCTTGGCGTAGCAGCTAGCTAGCTGCCTACCAAGCTAGTGCCGTTTTCTTGAGGGCTTGAACGCAGCCTGCGACGTGGATAGCCATTGTGGCTGGGACCGCGGATTGGCCCGGGCTTGTGGTTATCTAGATCCCTGCTGTTTGTTGTTGTTGTTTCCAATATTCCCTTCGACCTGCCCTGTCTGGAACGGCAAGGAGTAACAGCGTAACCTACGTTGCTACCATGACAAAGACCAAAGCTGGCGGGAGTACCATTGAGGACAGTGGTGTCTCTCTATCACATGTGAAGGATCTTTTAATCAAACAAAAATAGTTCTACAAACAGTTGTTACAACAACAAGAAAATAGCTTCAAGTGTTGTGTCCAAATACTGGTGGAGTCAACTAATAAAATAATGGACGACCTGACCAGAGAGGTCCAGGACCTGAAGAACAGTTTGCAGTTCTCCCAGGGTCAGCTCGATGAATTTATATAGAAGAACGGCAAGATGACAGCAATTTGTAAGTCAGTGAGAGAGGACATCAGTTCTGTATGTGAATCCATGATAACAATGATGGAGAAATCAAATTATCTTGAGGGACAATCAAGGCAGAACAACATTGTTGTGGACGGAATTGCAGAATCTCCACATGAGACCTGGACGGCGTCTAAGGACAAAGTGAGGGAAATGAACTTGGAGAAACAGAAGATGGACCACAGGATGATTGAGGTTTGAGCGCGCTCACAGGACTGGAAAACCCACCACCAGCCCAGGTGACAGGCCCAGGCCAATATTAGTCAAGTTCCTGAGGTTCAAGGACAAGGTAGCTGTTCTGGAAAGAGCCAAGAACTTGAGAGGAACGTATATCTTGCTCAACGAGGACTATCCTGAAGCTGTGCGCCAGAAGAGGAAAGAACTTATCCCAGCCATGAAAGCTGCCAGAGCGCGTGCGGACATTGCTTACATCCGCTATGACAGGCTCATTGTCCACCCTCCCTCCCAAAAACCAAGAAGGGATGAGAGAGCCAAGCCTATGGGTTTGTATCTTCAACCCTGCTGCGCACACACACACACACACACACTTACACACACAAACTGATTAATGGACTGCTGAATGTATTTTTTTTTCTCTTGCTTTGTTTGCTCTTTTCCATATTATGTCTATCTCTGATAAGCTACCCAGGAAAGGGATGAACATAGTCCATATTAATATATGTAGCCTTAGAAATAAAGTTAATGAAATCAATAACGTGCTAACATCAGATAACATTCATATATTAGCAATTTCTGAGACTCACTTAGATAATTCATTTGATGATACAGCATTAGCAATACAAGGATATAACATCTATAGAAGAGACAGGAATGCTTATGGGTGAGGTGTTGCTGTATATATTCAGAGCCATATCCCTGTAATGCTTAGAGAAGATCTTATTTCAAGTGTTATTGAAGTGTTGTGGTTGCAGGTTCACCTGGCACATCTAAAGCCTTTTCTTTTGGGGTGTTGCTATAGGCCACCAAGTGCTAACAGTCAGTATCTAAAATGTTTGGGTGAAATGCTTGATAGGGTATGTGATGTAAACAGAGAGGTCTACTTTCTTGGGGACCTGAATATTGACTGATTTTCATCAAGCTGTCTGCTCAAGAGGAAGCTTCTCACTGTAACCATTTCCTGTAATCTGGTTCAGGTTATTAATCAACCTACCAGGGTGTTTACAGACACTACAGGAACACAATCATCCACATGTATTGATCACATGTTTACTGATACTGTAGAACTTTGTTCTAAAGCTGTATCCGTACCCATTGGCCGTGTGGTGCCAGGACAACAACCTCTCCCTCAACGTGATCAAGACAAAGGAGATGATTGTGGACTACAGAAAAAGAAGTGGACCGAGCACGCCCCCATTCTCATCCACAGGGCTGTAGTGGAGCAGGTTGAGAGCTTGGTGTCCACATCACCAACAAACTAACATGGTCCAAGCACGCCAAGACAGTCGTGAAGAGGGCACGACAAAACCTATTCCCCCTAAGGAGACAGAAAATATTTGGCATGGGTCCTCAGATCCTCAAAAGGTTCTACAGCTGCACCATCGAGAGCATCCTGACTGGTTGCATCACTGCCTGGTATGGCAACTACTCGGCCTCCGACCGCAAGTCACTGCAGAGGGTAGTGCGTATGGCCCAGTACATCACTGGGGCCAAGCTTCCTGCCATCCAGGATCTCTATACCAGGCGGTGTCAGAGAAAGGTCCTAAAAATTGTCAAAGACTACAGCCACCGTAGTCATAGACTGTTCTCTCTGCTATCGCATTGGCAAGTGGTACCGGAGCGCCAAGTCTAGGCTTCTCAACAGCTTCTACCCCCAAGCCATAAGACTCCTGAACATCTAATCAAATGGCTACCCAGACTATTTGCATAAGTCACGGCGGTTGGATCCAAAAATCTCAAATTTGGACTCATCAGACCACAGGACAGATTTCCACAGGTCTAATGTCCATTGCACGTGTTTCTTGGTCCAAGCAAGTCTTCTTATTATTGGTGTCCTTTAGTAGTGATTTCTTTGCAGCAATTCGACCATGAAGGCCTGATTCACGCAATCTCCTCTGAACAGTTGATGTTGAGATGTGTCTGTTACTTGAACTCTGTGAAGCATTTATTTGGGCTGCAATTTCTGAGGCTGGTAACTCTAATGAACTTATCCTCTGCAGCAGAGGTACCTCTGGGTCTTCCTTTGCTGTGGCGGTCCTCATGAGAGCCAGTTTCATCATAGCGCTTGATGGTTTTTGCGACTGCACTTTCAATTTTCCAGATTGACTGACCTTCATGTCTTAAAGTAATGATTGACTGTCGTTTCTCTTTGCTTATTTGAGCTGTTCTTGCCATAATATGGACTTGATCTTTTACCAAATAGGTCTATCTTCTGTATACCACCCCTACCTTGTCACAAAAAAACTGATTGGCTCAAACGCATTAAGAATGAAAGAAATTCCACAAATTAACTTTTAACAAGGCACACCTGTTAATTGAAATGCATTCCAGGTGACTACCTCATGAAGATGGTTGAGAGAATGGCAAGAGTGTGCAAAGCTGTCATCAAGGCAAAGGGTGCCTACTTTGAAGAATCTCAAATATAAAATATATTTTGATTTGTTTAACACTTTTTTGGTTACTACATGATTCCATATGTGTTATTTCATAGTTTTGATAAAGACAAACCCTGGAATGAGTTAAGTGTTGGACCCCAGTAAGACTAGCTGTCGCTATTGGCGTCAGCTAATGGGGATCCTAATATATCTAAAGAAAAATTGACTGCACTGGATGAATATTCATGTTATTTTCTCAAGGTCTCAAGATTTTATACCAAGCCCCACAGTGCGGTCATTGCAAAGATATTAATAGTTATCTTTTTCCTAGGAGGTTCCTGACTTCCCTCACTCCCCACCCATGTCAGTGAGGGTACTCCACCCTGTGGTCTATACCTGTACTGCAATCCTCCTCCTCTGCCTCTTCACCATCATCATCACACACATAATACACCACAGGTACCGTGTGTGTGTGTGTGTGTGTGTGTGTGTGTGTGTGTGTGTGTGTGTGTGTGTGTGTGTGTGTGTGTGTGTGTGTGTGTGTGTGTGTGTGTGTGTGTGTGTGTGTGTGTGTGTGTGTGTGTGTGTGTGTGTATGTGTGTGTGTGTCTGCTATCTGACCTACCCCACAGTGTCTTTATGTCCATCTAATGCTCTTCTTTGTTTTCTTCCTCCTGCAGTTCTATAAACATATCCAGAAAGAGCTGGCACACGTTACTCAATACCTGCTTCCACGTCGCTATGACCACAGCTGTCTACGCAGGAGGCATCACCCTGACCAGCTATCCAATGGTGTGCCAGGCAGTAAGTCCCTCTCCTCTCAGACCCAGCTCATGCTCTCTACATGTGGTGTGTGTAGGCTGTGTGTATGACCCTGTGTGATTTGTGTCAGGTGGGCATCGCTCTCCACTACTCCTCCTTGTCTACTCTGCTGTGGATCGGGGTCAGTGCTAGAGTCCTCTACAAAGAGGCTGTCTGGAGGATGCCACGGCAACCAGAGGGAGAGTCTCCTGTTCCACCTACTCAGCGGCCTATGCTCAGGTCAGTGATGTCATCAGGGTGAGACAGAGTCAACTTTTATATGAGAAGGTTGTGAGTTATTGTCAAACAGGTCAATGGTTGAGTTGGGAGCTCATTGTGGGGTGCTATTTTAAATGACTGTATTCATGTGAACGGACACCCTAACTGTGTCATATCAAAGACCACCATTGTGTTTAGAACCAAGGATCTTCTGTTTTAGAAAGCCTTGGAGGGAAAAACAGTAGACTACTGCTAAGGCACAAAAGAGCAGCAGTGACAGATGCAGAGTGCTGAACCTAGAGCGGGGGAGGAGAGGAATGTACGAGCCTGGGATAACAGAGGTTGAGGAGAATATCGTAAATCTGGCCAGGGTGATGGAGGGGGCGCACTGTCCCCTCATTACTGCCCCCCTCCCCTCCTCCTCCCCCTTTTCCCCCTCTGCCCTGGTGATCCCTGGCTGTGATCATGTACTGTACTGTTGATCTCTGTGGCTTTCCCAAACCCCTCTGTCGCCCACCGCCGCATGGGGTCAGCCCTCCAATGACGCCTGGCCCTGTGATAAATCACAACCCCCCCAGCAACCTGTTGCCCTTTGTTACACTTTATCAGCTAGCGCAGCTGCCCAACTAACAGCTCAGTTCAGCTCAAGAGATCACAGACAGCTAGCCTAGGGATCACTACAGCTGTGAAATGTATGCTTGCTGGGATAAAACAACAAAGGAGCAAAGCCGCTAAATCTCATACAGAATAAACAGAAACTGAAATGTAATTTGTCATACAGTCCTTGGGTTTAGTTGTTGTTTCCAATATTGTGTCTGGCACATGATACTTCACATCTAAATAAGTTCACTGTCATTTAATCTTACTTTCTTTTTCATCTAATTTTGTTGGATCCCTCTAATTTGTATCTTTCCTGAATACAGGTTCTATCTAATAGCTGGTGGTGTTCCTCTCATCATATGTGGCATCACTGCAGCTGTCAACGTCAACAACTATGGGGCCAACAGCCCTTAGTGAGTGCTTCTCATTTTACCGTTGACCCATTGGCCCTTGACACAGTATATTTTGGTTTAGTGCTTATTCAAGAGCTGAATTTGACATTTTTTATGAGATTTTGAATATACAGAGGAATCCTTCTTTTGCTATGACCTTGCTGACTTTTTTGTGGTATTTTCCAGCTGCTGGTTGGTGTGGCAGCCCAGTTTGGGGGCCTTCTTTGTCCCCGCAGGCTTGGCGGTATTGGTCACCTGGATCTATTTCCTGTGCACTGTGTTTCGCCTGAGGCAGCGGGTGTCCAAAGAGTGCCCAGGATCCTCACTGTCCTCCCCTGTGCCTGAGAGCCAGCCAGCCCTGGGTAGAAGCACTAGTCTCATGTCAACAGACTCTGTGGTGGGGACCATGCACGCTGCGTTGACCCCAGAGGACCAGTACTCCCTGAAGGTGCAGTTCCTGGTGCTGGTGGCCACCCACTTCCTGTTCCTGGCCCTGTGGGGCTGTGGAGCCATGGCCATGTGGCTGACAGGGCACAGCAGCCTGTTGTTTAGCTGTCTCTATGGGGTAGCTGCCACCGTGTTGGGGGTGTTCCTGGTGGTGCACCACTGCTTTCGACGCCTGGATGTGCAGGCCTCCTGGCTGGGCTGCTGCCCAGGGTATTGCCGCTCCCAGCCTATGCCAGCCTACACGCACACCTGCACCACTGTTAGTGGGATGCAGACCACCTCTGAAAAGGGATCCCAGATCTTCATTGGCTGCCATCCTCCAGGGGATCCCCACAACTCCTCATCAGCCAGGTCCTCCTCCACCCCCAGTGGGATCAGCAGTGTGGGCCCTGGGCCCTGTAAGCTTACCAACCTGCTGCAGGTGGCACAAGACAATACCAACAATACCACTCATGCCCCAGCAGGCATCAACACCAGCACCAGTACGGACAATAACAACAAGCAAGCTAACAACCTGCTGCCCACCATAGCCCCTGTCCAGCCTCAGAGGAGGAAGGTCAGTGGCAGAACTAAACAAGGGAGCAGCCAGTATCACCACCGAGGTGAAGGCAGAGGTCACTACCGTCTCAAAGTCATGAGGGCTGGTGGGGGAGGGGGCAGTATGGGAGCACTGGGACCTACAGGTATAGAGCAGCACAACGCTGCCCATCCAGCCCACAAACAGGCCACTAGTGAGAACGGCAGCGTACATCACAGCCACTCTGAGAGCCATGTCAGCCCGATAACCAACTGTAATGGTAGGAGAGTGGGGGAGACAGTGGCTACCAGCCCCTCAGAGGGAAGTGACGGGGGCAGCAGCGGCAGCCGTAAGCCCTTCCCTCTGCTCCCCTCTGTGGCCAGCAGGGTGGCTATGCAAGGTAATAGGCGCAGCGCCAGCCGAGACAATCTGAAACTGGCAGCGGCTGCAGAGCGTGAAGCTAAGCGCAGCTCCTACCCTCTGAACAGCATTACTACCACTGTGCCAGGGGTTGCCCCTAACGGCACCCTCAAGAGCTCTGTGATAGAGCTGGAGTTGGACACAAGTGGCACGGACCATTCCCAGAGCTCTGTGGGCATGAAAAGTATGTGGAAGAGTGAAACTACAGTGTGACCCTAGCTCTTTCCCAGCACCTGTCCACAGTGGACCCTGACAATATTTGATATGATTGGACTGTTGTTATAGTCTCCTACACCTATACAGATGAATCCTAATATGAGATCCATGTGTGTAACTCAGACTTTCGTGTAAATTATATTGAAAGAATTGCACAAAACTTCTAGTTTCACGTGTGGATCTCAAGTTGGGATTCAGATCATGGTGAGGTTTTTTATTTTTAATGTGTAAAAGAGCTAGATTATGGGGTTGTGTTGCTTGCTACTTTTGCGTCCAGCCATTTGGCTTTCCATTACAATGATGGTATGGGATGTGTATGAAGACAACCATGTCCTGTACTCTCAGCTCTGTCACATACATAACAACTGTTTGTTGGGTTTGCCATGAATTCAAGGCCTGTCTTTTGTGTACTTTTGTTTCTCATATTTCAAACCTAAAATACTCATTTATTCTACACGTCACAGGAATTTTTACGAGCTAAGTCTAAAATCAACATAAGATGTTGATTTTGGGTACCTTAAGTAAAGCTTTATTGTTTTATTTGTATTCTTATTCTATGCATATCGACTATAGCATGAAATGGAATCTAAGATTGTCCATTTCCACAGTATGTCTGTGCATTTCCTCTGTGAAGAATCTTTTTGCTTTTATTATATTTTCTTGTAGTATTGTGGGTATGTGGGCATGTGTGTGTGCGTGTGTATGTGTATGCTTGTGTGAATGTGTGTTTGTGTGTGTGATTCTCAATCTAGGATGAGAGAATGCAGATTGTAAAACTTTTTATACTAAATCGTATTGACCTGGATTCAAATACGCATCAGCACTGAGAGGGAACTCCTCCCCTAATAAACAGGATTGAACAAGTATCATTATTTGGACAAATTATTTTTATATGAACTTCCCCATCCTTCTTCATTTTCCCATTTTCTTTTACTGTGCTCTCTCCCTCTTGGAGTTTCAAATCTCTGGATTTACACTTAGTTGAACATGGATGTAGACTGCCCCCTCCAGGATTTCAAACATCATTGTTCATGCACTGATATAAAGGGATGCATCCGTTTAAACTATGTTGAGTTTTCCATCTGCATCAGGAGGAAGGAGAATATTTTAATGGTTGTTTTATTATGCAGTAAATAGCTCTGGTTTATATCACATGAACCAAGATAAGCGCTTACTGAAACACCCCCCTCACATTCACCTCATAAACCAATGGCTTCAAAGCTTTTTACAGTAATCATCAAATACTTCTACACTATTTTTTTCTGTTGATGTACAAATCTCAGAATAAAGGCAAAAACATGTATGACAGAATTCTGATTCATTTATGCTACATAGTTTTCTGATGTTGCTTCACACACTTTACCATACAATATTGTGTAAAGCCATATTATGCCATTTTGATCTTCAGTATTCTTTTAGCATGTAAGAATGCAACAGCTCAGTTCATCTTAGATACGCTCCGCTAAACAACTCCAATGTGTTCAGGGAAATTATTGTGCCAAAGAATTGTATAGATAAGCAGAGCTTACCTCAACGTCAGTGTTTAGCAAATGGGATACAGTTCATAGATTGTATCCTTATTCTAGGTCCTGAAATCTCCCTTTAGGTCAATGATAATAACATGAGGAAGAACTCACAAAGCTGAGAGTTGTGTTAAGTACAAAGCAGTGGTTGCACTTACCTTCCTTATTATTGTCTGTAGAAAAACCACCATGCTTGTTCCACTAATTTCCATTAGGTGTAAAATGTCAACACGTGCAAGAACACAATGGCAGAATGTGTCCTCTTTTTCACTCATGGTTACCCAGATTGTTAACATTTAATCCATTTACTAACATTCATCCCATTGGTCCTTAAATGATTTCCAAGTTTTTTGTCCACTCTCATCTCGAAATGAAAAAGGGAGATTTTAAAATGCTGTTTGTATATTTATATTTCATTTGTCATAATGACATCAGTATGAAATAACTGTGTTTAATTCAATAATATATTGTTCAAGAATTCCAACTGTGCCTTGTAAAATAAACTCTGATGCAAAATAAATACAATAAATACAACTTTAGTATTTTGTCATTTATTCTCATACTGATGGGGCAATACTGCTTCTCTGATATGAACATGAGGTGAATGCGAATGAAAGAGTCTTAGAAACTCTGTGACTGGCTGTCTGAGCACCAGCTGCTCCTGAAGCCTCTGTTCATATTAGCTGTTCTTGATGTTGTGGTCTAATTTGTGACATCTTGTTCTCTGTTCAACAAAGCTGAAACCTTTGTCACTAAACAGTTCTTTATTACAATTTGTTCTATTAGTGTAGTTTAGAAACAATTAGTCAGCATGTTTACAAACATAAGGTCAGCGTGGTCCTGGGCTGGGGGATTCAGGGATGGTAAATTGATCCTAGACATTATATATATATATATATATATATATATATATATATATATTTTTTTTTTTTTTAATTACATTTCAAATTACAATACAATAATTTTAAAAAAAACATAGGACATCACTACCGGTATATTTTCTCAGAAGAAACATAAAAAAACATTAAAGTAATATAATAAAACCACTACACATGAATTGAGTTTCAAAAGTTAAAGTACCTAGAATAAAATAAGGTCAGGGGTTGCAAATGTACAAACCTGATCGTAGACCTGTGCGTAGTGGCGATTAAAAGACTGCGTAATTCGCGTTACTATGGCACCAGCGCCACTGTCCAATCACGGTAGGTCGTTAACGTCTTGACGCAAATTTTAACCAATCAGATAGGAATGTGGGAAGTATGGGCGGGAAGAATGGTTGATGAGGAAGTTTATCGTTCAACAAAGAAAAAAGTCAACAGTCAAGCGAGAGACAATGAAAAGCAATTATTACAGAAAAGCAATTATTACAGACAGTCGTTGTGTTAGTATTTGACCTCTTTGTATGAGAACGCAGAGTACAATTTACTTATAGAAGAAAATTGTATACGATGGTTCTTGTCGAACGTCTGAATTTATTTGGGCAAGTTAAAGCAGCTAGTAAGCTAGCTAACGTTAGCAAGTTCTTGATATTTCATATTTACCTAGCCATTAAGTTAGCTAGTAGTAAGGACCAACCCCTGTGTTGCATTAGCTAATTGAGACGGATATATAAGGTTCGTTATATTACTCAGACTCTCCTTATCATACCCACTGCGTAGGTGGTATTGTAGAGTGAACTGGGAGTGTCAAGTGTGTCGACATCATCAGATACCCGGCCGAGAGTCGACAATCGTCATTATACATTAACGAGGACGACGAGCTACCAGTAGTAACATATAGTTAGTCAGTCTCTGTAAGTAAAAACAAAGTCGTTAGGATATCCTAAAACCTGCCAAAGTCGTTTTTTTTAGCTAAAGCTTTGAAATGGCTTTGGCTGACCAAAGCCAGCAGTGGTATCCCACAAGCGTACAGGTAACGGTGTTCCAAGCCAGGAATTTGAGGATCAAAGGCAAGAATGGAACCAACGATGCCTATGCCATCATGCAGGTGGCCAAAGACAAGTTTTCTACCTCGGTTGCCGAAAAATGTGTCGCACCGGTATGGAAGGAAGAGGCAACGTTTGACCTGCCACTGTTCCACCATGGCAATGCTGAACGCTGCACTCTGTATATCATCGTAATGCACCGAGCTCTGGTGGGACTGGACAAGTTCCTGGGACAAGCTGTGGTCAACCTACTGGAGCTAAACGATAACAGTGCCCGGAAAAGGACTGAGTAAGTAACTAATGTTGAATAAAGATAAAGGATCTGTGTGTATGGATTGTGATTATTTTTTTTTCTTTCTAATTCTCCACCGAGAGGGGGTTCTTCATGTAGCCAGAATGGTATTAGTGATAGGAATGTCTCTTCTGCTCTGTTAGGTGTCACCATTGATGAATTTCACTGACATAGCAGAGATGAAATTCCATTACGTTTGTCAGGTTTATCTGAAGACTGATAAATATCTATTGTACTCTACAGCCATCAACCTCTGCACATGTTTACACACCTAAAGCACACACAGAGAAGGCCATTCCAGATCCCTTATCAGTAGCTCAGTGGGACAACCGAAACCATGGAGCTGGTTGGGAAAACGATCTGATTATGTTGGGTGAGGTCACGCTTCCTCTGCTTTCTTGTCAGACTGTAGCTTTAGGCTGTGAATACTTGAGCTAATACCCTAACCATATCTCCCCTTTTAGTAAATAGTAAATATAATGGCGCCGGAAAAGATGGCTGCCGTAAGACTTTTAAGCAGGTCAACATTCACAAGGCCGCAGGGCCAGACGGATTACCAGGACGTGTACTCCGAGCATGTGCTGACCAACTGGCAAGTGTCTTCACTGACATTTTCAACATGTCCCTGACTGAGTCTGTAATACCAACATGTTTCAAGCAGACCACCATAGTGCCCAAGGACACTAAGATAACCTGCCTAAATGACTACCAACCCGTAGCGCTGACGTCTGTAGCCATGAAGTGCTTTGAAAGGCTGGTCATGGCTCACATCAACACCCTTATCCCAGAATCCCTAGACCCACTCCAATTTGCATACCGCCCCAACAGATCCACAGATGATGCAATCTCTATTGCACTCCACACTGTCCTTTCCCACCTGGACAAGAGGAACACCTACGTGAGAATGCTGTTCATTGACTACAGCTCAGCGTTCAACACCATAGTGCCCTCAAAGCTCATCACTAAGCTAAGGATCCTGGGACTAAACACCTCCCTCTGCAACTGGATCCTGGACTTCCTGACGGGCCACCCCCAGGTGGTAGGGGTAGGTAACAACACATCTGCCACGCTGATCCTCAACACGGGGGCCCCTCAGGGGTGCGTGCTCAGTCTCCTCCTGTACTCCCTGTTCACCCATGGCTGCATGGCCAGGCACGACTCCAACACCATCATTAAGTTTGCTGAGGACACAACATTGGGAGGCCTGATCAATGACGAAACAGCCAATAGGGAGGAGGTCAGAGACCTGGTTGTGTGGTGCCAAGATCACAACCTCTCCCTCAACGTGATCAAGACAAAGTAGATGATTGGACTACGGAAAAAGAGGACCGAACACGCCCCCATTCTCATCGACGGGGCTGTAGTGGAACAGGTTGAGAGCTTCACCAACAAACTAACATGGTCCAAACATACCAAGACAGTCGTGAAGAGGGCACAACAAAGCCTATTTCCCCCTCAGGAGACTGAAAAGATTTGGCATGGGTCCTCAGATCCTCAAAGTGTTACAGCTGCACCATCGAGAGCATCCTGACTGGTTGCATCACCGCCTGGTATGGCAACTGCTCGTCCTCCGACCGCAAGGCACTACAGAAGGTAGTGCGTACGGCCCAGTACATTACTGGGGCCAAGCTTCCTGCCATTCAGGACCTCTATACCAGGCGGTGTCAGAGGAAGGCCCTAAAAATGGTCAAAGACTCCAGCCACCCTAGTCATAGACTGTTCTCTCTGCTTCCGCACGGCATGCGGTACCGGAGCGCCAAGTCTAGGTCCAAAAGGCTTCTTTACAGCTTCTACCCCCAAGTCATAAGACTCCTGAACAGCTAATCAAATGGCTACCCAGACTATTTGCATTGTACCCACCCCATCCCCTCTTTTACGCTGCTGCTACTCTCTGTTTATTATCTATGCATAGTCACTTTAACTCTACCTACATGTACATATTACCTCGACTAATCTGTGCCCCTGCAGATTGACTCTGTACCGGTACCCTCCGCATTTATTTTGAGCCTATCTCTGGCCTTCACAGCTGGATGGGGTCATGCTGCATGTCAGGCCGTATCTCATTAAGAGGGAATGTTGTCCAGTGTCTACATTCCTGCCATTCCCCATGTTTCTGCAAGGTTATTTAACTCTGAGGGTTAATCACAGTGACATGTGAAATTACATTGGTTGGGACCATGATGGCATTCACAACAATGGTGGAATCGGCTCTATCATGGGTATAGCGAGCATTATAACAAAACAGTAGGCTAGCTACCTATGAGGCAAAATGTACACACCCACATCTTATTTAATAGTGTTTTTAAGACTGTTCGCTGACTTAAACATGGACAGAAGACTGAAGGACATTTAGATTTCAATATTGAAGACTGCATACTAATCTTTGACTTGTAGGCTATTTGTCTCAATTGAGGGCAGTGAGTGACTGTCATGGTTGTATCCTTCTGTGTATAATGCTCTCTCAGTATAGGCTGTCCCAAGGGCAGCCTTTGTACAGTGCTTAGGCTCATTCACTTGTTTACTATACGCTCATATCTAGAACCTTATCTAGAGTTTACTCAGTTGGGGTTGGATAGCTTTTTATGACTTATCTTGCTCCTTCTCTCTCAAACACAAAAAGGGAATTGGATGTTGCTGTTTGTTCCCCCTTGCAGCGTTTGGTGTTAGATTACTGTCCTACTTCTGTTGCTGGGTCAGGGTTTGACATTGAGGTAAGGCACTAGGTTTTCCTGCATGGGAGCTCTTTGTCCTTTCCCAATGTAGCAGAATATGTTCTCAGCATGAGACAGTGAAATGATATGATGCCAAATAACACACCATGTTACTGATCATATTCCAGGTATGGCTCTTGAACATGTCATCACTGTTCACACTTAGGTATATTAGGTGAAAGGGAAGTTCCACAACTTTGATATTGAATAATGTAGGCACTACTGACAACAATAAAGGCCTATGTTAAGTATGCTTTTTTGGTATTTCTGTTTCCACATTAGAAATGGACTTGGCTATAGACCCGTTTCATCTTTGAGATGTCTAAAATATCATTAGACTATTTCTCAACACCAAATTAATCATGAAATAGACCTATATGTGCATGAATCGAGGTTTACTCATCATTTTTTATGTTTGCTATATTTCTCTCTCACAAAGGCAGCAAAGGATCTTCTGTCAAACAAATCCATAGCGTTTAGTCTGTCGTGTTAGTCATTAGCTGGACGTGACATGTTAATCATTATACTTCAGAGGGAAGTCGGTGCCTCCACCACTTTCTCTGAGAGAACTGGTCCAACAGCAGACCACCACTCCTCTATCAGGGCCAGGGTTTTCTATTTATCTGTAAACACTATCACGTGTGCTATGTCAACTCATTCTTCCTTTTAACTCATAGAATCCCTTCACTGAACCAGTGTTCAGAGTCTGACCAGTACTACAGAAAATAAATTGAAATATTGTCTTAAATGTTCTCAATTGTATCCCATTGTTCTGTGCTCTGTTAGTATTTGTTTTACCTGGCATGGCCCAGTTTGGGAAGGAGATTAGGAATGCTTGGAGAAAGCATAGCTTTCATTAGCCTACACCTCTTAAGAAGGCCTCCCTACTGCTCTGCTAGGCTTTATGGAATGTAGGCTAGGTTTACTCCCATGCATGTTTCCTGACTGTTTTCCCACAGGATCCTGTCTGGATTTTTGTTTTTAGTACTCCAGTAAGGGTAGGGAAATGATTCACTGAACTTCACATGAACCACATAGAATAATGTCTGATCACTGCCCAGCAGTGTACATCGAATTTCAGCTGAATGCATTCTAAATATAGACCCATCAGCTAACTATCTATGAGAGTAAAAAGTGACCAGTTGTTTTCCTTTAACCTTTTACTGCCTATGGAAGTATGATGTCCTCAGGGAAGGATGTGTGTAGTGCTCACTAGAGCCTGAGCTTATCGATCAGAACTCTGACCCCCTGAATGCTTTCCTTGTCCCAGCTGACCCTGAAACATGGAGGTTCAGTGATGACACTGAATTTAACCAGGGATTTCTGCCCTCTACTGGCTTCCTTTGTAGGTCTGGCTAAATGTTTTAAGCTTCCATTATATGATGATAAAAACTCAAGTGAAGATGCAAAAAGATTAAGAGCATAGGCCTACTGCGAGTGACTGAATATGCAAAAATGGCACACTGCAAGGGACTTCCACTTAACCTGCTCCAGCATGGGTTGGATGGGTTGTTGTTCTGGTCTTGGGAAGGTGAGAGTTCACCTGGGGCACAGTCTGTTGAGCTGCACTTTGCATTACTGGGATTAGCCTACCGCTCTGCTTATTGACCAAATCTAGCAGTGCTCTTATTGTGCAATGTCTCTGCAATCACAGAGGCTGTTATGGAAAGGGCTCTCCAGAACACTTTCCTTTGTGCAGAGTGGGCCTAAACTGCAATTAGTTTACAGCCCATTTACGTCAGCACTGGATGAGCTGGATCTATTATAGTTCCTGACCTCCAAAACTAGTCCAAAAGTTCAGTAATAGTTTTATCAAGTCATGTTTGACCCCATTTCCTGGCAAATCATGATGTTGAAAAAGTTTTACCGCGTAGCTAAGCTTAATAGACAATTCCTCACATTTGACCTTCAGTACATTGGTTCTGCGTCATGCGGCCATATAATTGGATTTTTAATTGAACAGGAGGACCTACACTGAACAAAAATATAAATGCAACATGTAAAGTGTTGGTCCCATGAGCTGAAATAAAAGATCTCAGATATTTTCCATATGCACAAAAGCTTATTTCTCTCATGGTTTGTGCACACATTTGTTTACATCCCTGTTAGTGAGCATTTTTCCTTTGCCAAGATAATCCATCGACCTGACAGGTGTGGCATATCAAGAAGCTGATTTAAACAGCATGATCATTACACAGGTGCGCCTTGTGCTGGGGACAATAAAAGGCCACTCTAAAATATGTAGTTTTGTCACACAACACAATGCCACAGACGTCTCAAGTTTTGAGGGTGCATGCAATTGGCATGCTGACTGCAGGAATGTCCACCAGAGCTATTGCCAGATAATTTAATGTTAATTTTTCTACCATAAGCCGCCTCCAATGTAATTTAACAGAATTGAAAATGATGATAGTGTGGGTTTGCACAACCGAAGAATTTCTGCACAAACTGTCAGAAACCTTCTCAGGGAAGCTCATCTGCGTGCTCCTCAGCAGGGTCTTGACCTGACTGCTGTTCGGCATCGTAACCAACTTCAATAATAATAAGACTTCAGTGGGCAAATGCTCACCTTCGATGGCCACTGGCACGCTGGAGAAGTGTGCTCTTCATGGAGGAATCCTGGTTTCAACTGTACTGGGCAGATGGCGGACAGTGTGTATGGTGTCGAATGGGCGAGTGGTTTGCTGATGTCAACGTTTTGAACAAAATGCCCCGTTATGGTATGGACAGGCATAAGCAACGAGCAAGGAACACAGTTGCATTTTATCGATGGCAATTTGATTGCACAGAGATACCGTGACGAGATCCTGAGGCCCATTGTCGTGCCATTCATCTGCCGCCATCACCTCATGTTTCAGCATGATAATGTACGGCCCCATGTCGCAAAGATCTGTACACAATTCCTGGAAGCTGATAATGTCCCAGTTCTTCCATGGCCTGCATACTCACCCGACATGTCACCCATTGAGCATGTTTGGGATACTAGTTCCCGCCAATATCCAGCAACTTCGCACAGCCGTTAAAGAGGAGTGGGACAACATTCCACAGGCCACGATCAACAGCCAGATCAACTCTATGCGAAGGAGATGTCGCACCAGATACTGACTGGTTTTCTGATCCACGCCCCATCTTTTTTTTTTAAGGTGTCTGTGACCAACGGATGCATATCTATATTCTCAGTGATATGAAATCTATAGCTTAGGGCCTAATGAATTTATTTAAATTGACCGATTCCCTTATATGAACTGTAACTCAGTAAAATCTTTTAAATTGTTTCATTTTATTTTTGTTCAGTGTAATATCTCTTTCTCTCATTTTCAGTTGGTACAAACTGCTGGATAAGAATAGGAAGGAGGATAAAGTCAAAGGGGAAGTGATGTTGGACATCCAGTTTATGAGAAACAACTTGACAGCCAGCATGTTTGACCTTTCCATGCAAGACAAACCACGCTCCCGCATCGGAAAGCTCAAGGACAAAGTGCGTGGGAAGAAAAAGGACAGCTTCTCTGACTCATCCTCTGCAATAGTGCCCTCTGTCAGCCAGGTACTGACTGACAGCGAGGGAGAGGCTGACTCCCACTCAGTGTACTCAGAGTTCCCTGAGGCCAAGAAGAAATCCAAGCTCAAGACCCTCTTTGCCCCTAAATCCAACTTGCAGCGCAACGTCTCCCAGTCCATGTCTACACTGGGCACTCTTCCTGAGAAGAATGCATCCCTCAGTGGCAGTCGCTCTTCTGGCCTCAATGTGGATTCTCCTGATGGTGAGCTCCTTTCATTCAGCTTAAACATTTTGACTTCTGTCTGCATACCTTTTTTTATATTTCAGTAATGATGATTGGAATATGCAATAACCTCCTTCACGATCTCTTTCTATCTACAGTTAAAAAGAAGTTCAAGTTCCTGGGCCACAAGCGGACAGGCAGCAATGACAGCAAGGTGTCTACAGGACCTTTTTCTCTTCTGGGCAGATCCAAGCAGAAGGACGATCCGAACAGCACGTGCATCAACGGCAACCATGTGTATGCAGAGGAGGTAGAGCCCAAGTCTGGGTCCACCCTCAGCCTCAACAGCTCTGGTCAGGGCTCAGTGGAGGATGTACGCAGCCGCAGGCAACCATCTGATGTCTCTGTAGACTCCCTCAAGGGCCTCTCTGTCCCCACCTACAGAAAGGAGTCTGCGGATAGGGCTCTGCTGGAGCAACGGAGCCTTCAGGAGGAGGAGGAGGAGAAGAGACAGGCCGAAGAGAAGAGATGGAATGAGGAGAAACACAGAGCGCAGCTCAAGATACTTCAGGAGGAGGAGGAATGCAAGCAACAGGAGGAGCAGGAGAGGAGGAGAAGGTTCCAGGAGGATGAGGCAAGGAGGAATAAGCAGCGGGAAGAGGAGCTGAAGTGCCTAGAGGAAGAAAGGAGGCGGCTGGAGGCGGAGGAGCTTCAGAGGCTGGGGGAGGACCAGCGGCAGCAGGAGGAGACCAAGAGAGCAGAGGAGCAGAAACAACAGGAGGAGGCCTCTGTGGCTGAGAGGCTGTCCTCTCTGTTTGGTATGATCATGAAGAAGGAGGAGAAAAAGGAAGAGCAGCAGCAGACTAGCGCCAAGGAGGAGAGGCCCAACCCAGCTCCCAGACGCTTCACCAGAGATTTGGCGGTCCCTCCACACGCCACCAACCAATTTGAGGAGATCCCCCTCAGTCCAGACCCTCCAAACCTGTTTGAGCAGAGCCCGGTGGACTCCCAGAAGGATGTCTGCAGCCCCAACACCACGAGCGCTGCTGTCTTCCTCAACTCCAACCGCACTGCCAAGGTGTCTGCAGTCAAGCCTAGGTAGGTGTCGGTCTTGTTCTAATGCACTTACAGCTCTATTCTAACTTGAGATCTGCATAGTTAAGTCCAAACTTCGTGTGAATCTCCCATCAATGCATGGTTTTAATAATGCAGGTCTCAAGTTAGGATGTGTCCTTCTCTCTGCTGTAAGCTTTGTCAGCCTACTAATGTAATGTAGGCCTACCTGATGTTCTGACAAAAGTTACATGTACAATGGTAATTGGAGCTACTATATACCCAATGTACTTCACTGCTGATCAGGTAACACTAACCAATACACATTTTCTGTCTCAGAATGTTGCTAATGGGTGCTAGATGGTTTTCATGTTATTTCCAGTTAACTATTTTGAAATATTTTTCTTTGATAGCAGATGCAACAGATCATGTTGGCTGCCTTGGCAGCCTTTCATCTAACCATATACATCTAGCTCTCCAATTTCAAAAAGCTCACTACTGTCACTGGTGAACTAGTGTCTCTGACCTCATTCTTAGAACTCTCCTAAAATCCATATATATTTTCACTCAAATTGCTGTATGTTGTCCAGATTGAATAGCTGTGGTGAGTTTTCCTTGGTTGCTATCCAACTGTAGTTTAAATGGTTTTATTATTCTCCGTTGCATATGGTTGTTTGGGGATTAATGATCAGATGGTGGTATGGTTTAGGATGAACTAATCTGTACACCAGATCATGTCTCCATGTCAGCACTGGCTGCAATTAGCCTAGTGTTCTGAGTTTCATCTTTGTTCCTCTTGATTGTCTTAAAGATAGAATCCGCAGTAGGGGAATGGTGCCACTGTCTGCCTTACTGCCGTAGTTTTGGTTACTGTCTGCCTTACTGCCGTAGTTTTGGTTACTGTCTGCCTTACTGCCGTAGTTTTGGTTACTGTCTGCCTTACTGCCGTAGTTTTGGTTTTGTTGACGAAGCAGCGGTGAGGAGCGTCGCCCAAGGTAGTAAAATAAAAATGCTGTACATATTCTGCTGTTCTATCGTGCATGCAATGATGTCCGGGGGGGGGGGGGGGGGGTTTGCAGTAACTTGTTTGTTGTAATATTGCAAATGGACGTTGCAGTTTCACCATTAATGATTCCAGCTTTAAGGCTCTTAAAAGCCTTGACAAACATGATCGTGGATCATCTGGCATGTGATGGGCCTGTTTGGCTGCTTTGCTGATTGGTCTGCAGTGTGGAATCTAGGTGTGTCTGAGTCTGGGTGGTATGGTGCAGAACAGGTTGGGAGGGATGAAGTGAGCTAACACTGGGGTGACTAAGTACATTGGGACAGTCTGCAGGAGCAAACAAGGCTTTGTTTTTTCACTCATCTATTTCTGGATTTATTTTAATCATGCTTTCCTAATGGTGAGTTGTCCACTCAATATAGTCAAATTCCCTTTTAAAGGAGGAAATACTTTTTTAGTTTTGCTATAGCCTAATCTTATTTTGCCACTGAAATTCAGACGTTCTAAATCTAGATTTGTTTAGTAGCCTATGTTTGAGCCTTTTTGCAAGAATGATGATATAGCCCATCCTAAAGTATTTGAATGTGTTTTTATAACCACCCTTTTATGTGTTTTTAAAAGAAAGGCAATTGTGGGCATTCCCATATTTCCAAATTATGTTTAATTCCATCAAGACCTTATCAGGTGTGATGATGTGCTACAAGAAAATAACGTCAGGTGTTTTTGCGTGTTTGGGGTAGAGCGGGTTACAGATGGGACTGGACGTAGGGCTGGGCAATATGGCCAAAATATAATATTGCGGTATAAAAATAAAAAAATAGACGGTATTTGACAGTATTTTATGTTTTTGAATAATAAAAGTTCAAAATTTGCTTTGAGTAGTGTGTGACCCTAGGGTGGCAACACATACATACATACATTCTAAGTGATTTCAATGGGTCTTTCTCCATTTTGATTGTTTTATACTGTTCAAATCGATATGGGCAAACTATCTAGGCCATATTTCTAACCAAATGTTGCAAATGCAATTTGACTTGTGAATTATTATTTTTTTATTATTTTTTTTCCACCTTTATTTAACCAGGTAAACCAGTTGAGAACAAGTTCTCATTTACAACTGCGACCTGGCCAAGATAAAGCAAAGCAGTGCGAAAAAAACAACAACACAGAGTTACATATGGGGTAAAACAAAACAAAGTCAAAAATACAACAGAAATAAATATATATACAGTGTGTGCAAATGTAGCAAGTTATGGAGGTAAGGCAATAAATAGGCTATAGTGCAAAATAATTACAATTAGTATTAACACTGGAATGATAGATGTGCAAGAGATGATGTGCAAATAGAGATACTGGGGTACAAATGAGCCAAATAAATAACAATATAGGGATGAGGTAGTTGGGCGGGCTAATTTCAGATGGGCTGTGTACAGGTGCAGTGATCGGTAAGGTGCTCTGACAACTGATGCTTAAAGTTAGTGAGGGAGAGAAGTGTCTCCAGCTTCAGAGATTTTTGCAATTTGTTCCAGTCATTGGCAGCAGAGAACTGGAAGGAATGGCGGCCAAAGGAGGTGTTGGCTTTGGGGATGACCAGTGAGATATACCTGCTGGAGCGCATACTACGGGTGGGTGTTGCTATGGTGACCAATGAGCTAAGATAAGGCGGGGATTTGCCTAGCAGTGATTTATAGATGGCCTGGAGCCAGTGGGTTTGGCGACGAATATGTAGTGAGGACCAGCCAACAAGAGCGTACAGGTCACAGTGGTGGGTAGTATATGGGGCTTTGGAGACAAAACGGATGGCACTGTGATAGACTACATCCAATTTGCTGAGTAGCGTGTTGGAGGCTATTTTGTAAATGACATTGCCGAAGTCAAGGATCGGTAGGATAGTCAGTTTTACGAGGGCATGTTTGGCAGCATGAGTGAAGGAGGCTTTGTTTGCGAAATAGGAAACCGATTCTAGATTTAACTTTGGATTGGAGATTCTTAATGTGAGTCTGGAAGGAGAGTTTACAGTCTAACCAGACACCTAGATATTTGTAGTTGTCCACATACTCTAGGTCAGACCCGTCAAGAGTAGTGATTCTAGTCGGGTGGGCGGGTGCAAGCAGCGTTCGGTTGAAGAGCATGCATTTAGTTTTACTAGTGTTTAAGAGAAGTTGGAGGCTACGGAAGGAGTGTTGTATGGCATTGAAGCTCGTTTGGAGGTTTGTTAACACAGTGTCCAATGAAGGGCCAGATGTATACAAAATGGTGTCGTCTGCGTAGAGGTGGATCTGAGAGTCACCAGCAGCAAGAGCGACGTCATTGATATACACAGAGAAAAGAGTCGGCCCAAGAAGTCTCTCTCCATAGAGACTGCCATAGGTCCAGACAACAGGCCCTCCGATTTGACACATTGAACTCTATCTGAGAAGTAGTTGGTGAACCAGGCGAGGCAGTCATTTGAGAAACCAAGGCTATTTAGTCTGCCAATAAGAATGCAGTGGTTGACAGAGTCGAAAGCCTTGGCCAGGTCAATGAAAACGGCTGCACAGTACTGTCTATTATCGATCGCTGTTATAATATCGTTTAGGACCTTGAGCGTGGCTGAAGTGCACCCATGACCAGCTCGGAAACCGGATTGCATAGCGGAGAAGGTACGGTGGGATTCGAAATGGTCGGTGATCTGTTTGTTAACTTGGCTTTCAAAAACTTTTGAAAGGCAGGGCAGGATGGATATGGGTCTGTAACAGTTTGGATCTAGAGTGTCACCCCCTTTGAAGAGGGGGATGACCGCGGCAGCTTTCCAATCTCTGGGGATCTCAGACGTTACGAAAGAGAGGTTGAACAGGCTAGTAATAGGGGTTGCGACAATTTCGGCGGCTAGTTTTAGAAAGAAAGGGTCCAGATTGTCTAGCCCAGATGATTTGTAGGGGTCCAGATTTTGCAGCTCTTTCAGAACATCAGCTGTCTGGATTTGTGTGAAGGAGAAGCAGGGGGCAAAACACTTGGGTGAACTGTTGGAATCATGGAAATTGAAGGATTATTCAAATTCTATAGTTAGAGTATAATAGTGGGCACTTTGAATACAGTTTGACATGACGACATATGAAAATGCCAGGCAGGAGTGTTTGACAGGGTAGGAACCGAAGTGTTGACAAGTGTTTCCTAGGGGACCCTATAATCTTTGGCTGCATTGAATGTTTTCTCTTAGCTACTTCATGTAGCTAACAAATTCTTTGAAGATAATGTTGCACAAAAATCATGCAGATATAGGTGTACACCATAACTGGTATTATCAGGCTGTATAGCTAGTTACGTTTGCTCTGACTCAGTACATTTAATAGCTAGCTAGCGATTAGCATTAATGGCCAACAATATTTAGGCTCAACTTACTAAGAAAAGACAAACTAGCTGTTTGCAGATGTAAGAAACACAAACTAATAGTGTAATTATAGAACGCTAGTGGATTTATATTAAGAAGTAAAATGAAAACATCATCGTGGTCATCAACTTTGTTGCATGTGCTGCATTGACCATGCAGAGACTGAATGTATGCACTAACTGTAAGTCGCTCTGGATAAGAGCGTCTGCTAAATGACTAAAATGTAAATGAACGCAAGTGTCTCATGTTCGGGGAACAACAAATGCGCTCCTTGAGTGACAGGGAACAGGGCTAGGTCTGTGTGGAAAGCTGCATGGAGAAAGAGGGCGGAGAGAGATGACTCAAGTAGCAAAGTATACTATAAAAATGGACGTTACATATGGCGTATCACATTTAACAAACCAAACATTCAAATACTGTTATAGAAGGTAAACTAAAAACCCAAACCGGTCCGTGCATCAATACCGGTATATCGTAAAATACGGAATACCGCCCAGCCCTAACCAGATGGCATATATTTTTCTCATTACTGCACTGTTCTTTAATTTTGAAACAAACGTTTGAAATATCAGACAGAAAATGCTCTGGGTTCACAAAATTATCATCATTAGGGGTCCAAATTATGAACAAAGAATAGAAAAGAGCAGAGACCGATTCTTGAGCAGACTGGAAAGAACACTAGTTTCTGACATTTTCTTGTAAGCATTCGGGGTGCATCATCACACGTGAAGATAAGATCTTGATGGAATGAATGCCACTGCAAGAGGAGGCAAACTCCTCTAAGTTGTTGGTTATTTCAGCTGTCATGGGCAGGCTCATAGTTCTTGTGTGACTGTCCGCCACTGACCTCCAGGTTTTCACTCCTTGGCAGATTAGTGGCGTCTCTGAAGCAGCCTGAAACACCTGACTCAGACTCCCATAGGCAGCAATCTCCGTCCCTTTCCTGCGCTGAATCCATTCTCGCGTCCCCTCTGATTCTCCTGACATGTTCTCCAACCTCCACTCCTCCCTTGCTCCCGCTAAGACGCGGAGGAGCACCTCCAAGTCCCCCTATAGCAGCCCTGAGAACCTGGCTGCCATAGGACCTTCCCCCAATGGATCTGACAAGAAGCGGCAAGCTCCTCTGTCCCCCAGCCCAATGGAACCACAAAGCCATGGAAAACCCAATGCAGGCTCCAGAAGTGTTTCTGCTAAATCTGCTGTTGCAAGTGGCTATCCTGTTAAGGAGGTTGAGGGCAAAATACCTCCTCTACCTCTTCCTGACTACGATAGCCTGTTCCCACAGAAGAGACATGGAGTACTAGGACAGACTCGATGGGACCATATAATTGCAGAGGTGAATCAGAGACAGCAGGAATATGTGCCTCAGCTCATTGGTAAAGAGATGAGTGTGGATGGCCCAGACCTCGACTCACCAGTACCTCCACGCAATGACAAATATTCCTACGTGCAGGAGAGGGCAGCAGAACCCGTACACCAGCAACAGACACAAGTTCAGGAAGTTCAATCTACCTCTTTGAGGAGAGTGGGGCCCAACAGTTTTCCAGCACTCACTCCCCCTTCCAAACCAGTAGCTGCAGCCACCCCTAGACTATTGATGGACTCTAACACAAACCAAGGCCAGAGCACTATACAGGCTAATCCATCTGAGTGGCCCAATGCCTTCGTCTCCAAAGTCTTGGTCTCTACAAAACCTGTGGTTCAGAGCAGAGACATACCCTCCGTGACACCTCTGGAGGATGCAAGGAAGGTAATCAACACATCTGTTGCTACAGCCAGTGATGGCAAACCTGTTCTCTCAACAGAAAAGCCTAGACCTACATCACAAGCAGTTTCGGTGTCAAGTTCTACAGATGAACCTAAAGGACTGCCAAACACTCCCAAAGAGATCCCCACAGTCAAACCCAGACAAAGGTTAGTCCGCAAAGAGCCAGTGAGACCTGCAGATCATGAGCAGATGTCAGCAGAGTCTACCACTGTAGAGAAGGAGAACAGATCGGAGAGGAGAGCCTCAACCCTGGACATCATGGAACTGAGAAGGAGTAGTCCAGTGACTGAAAAGAACACTGAGGTGACTTCTGACAATGAAAAGCAACTCTCGTTTGACTCTGCAGAAAACGACATTGAGAAAAAAACACAGTTGGAACGCATTATGAAAGCGAAGTTTGCTGAACCTGACCCCTTCCCCATTGCTGATATCCTGCCTAAAGACCAATGGGCCCAACCAGAGCAAAGCGGAGATTACTTGTTCACTAGAGGACCACAGAAAAACCGCAAGCTTAAAGAACAGGCAATGACAACCAATGACTTGGATAAACTTTTCGCGCCAAACAATCCAACAGATCCCTTTGCCAGTTTTAATGACTGTGACTCAGACGAACCTCCCGAGCAGGAAAAAACAGAAGAACAGAGTCCTGCTTTTCAAAGGGGATTTTCCCAAATTAAAAAGAAACGAGGAGCACCTCAGCCTCCAGCTAATTCAAGTAATAAAGCAGCGATTGGAAAAATTGAGCTGGATAAAGAAGACCCTTCACCCAGAGAAGACAAGCTGATCAGCTCAGCCACTACAACAGGATGTGTAAAACTGCCGCCTCAAACTCAAAATACTAGACAGAGTAAACTCTATGGCAGAGAAGGGGTGGAAACTCAAGACAAGTGGGCAGCAGACCCTTTTACTTCCTCCTCCCCTGTACCTTCTGTCCTGACTTCTCCTAAGCCCCCCCAGTCCATAGTGGGAGAGCCCACCCCACAGACAGGGGGAAAGACCCTGCTACGGGCCTTGGTCGCACCCTCTGAGGTGCAGCCACTCACTGTGCTGAGTAGCAATGGTGGTGAGCCAGCCTCAACTCCACTCAGGTGAGCCTGAACCCCTCTATAGATATAACCAGCCGTTCAATTATTGTATGCATAAACATGAGGGATTTTCTTCTCACCAGTCAATTGGCTCATGTCTAACAGGCAAACAAACACTATATAGCCTCAACTATAATTTTGACGATATGGATGGTCAGTCCTTTCATCTCTGTCTATGAATTTGAGTGTGGTTACATTTCTCCAGCCCCACCCCTCACCTTTTATTGTTTCAATTAAGGACTCTAGCTTTATGCTTAGTCTCTCACTTTTTGGTATTTGGTGAGATTTTGAGTTTCAGCCTTGGTAGTCAGTATTAATCAAGCAAATTGCTCAGGGAATATTTTGAAATAGCGTGGTAACTCTGATCAAAGTGGTTGTTTTGTATTAGTGGTTTTGGTATGAAACAGAGATATGCTGTTGCGTTTCTCTGTTTTGTTCAACTTAGGAAAAGTGTTTTTTTCTCTGTGCAGCCTTTCTGATTCATAAATGCTGTGCATATCTCACATGGGGAGGATTTGTGGTTGTTTTCTATACCTGCAGCCTAACTGAAATGGACCTCTGTTAATTCAATTTCCAACTAATCAATTTTGACTTCTGTGACAAACTGTTATGCTCCTCAGTTTGAGTGTTTTTTGTTGTTGTAATCTTGCTCTATTTCCAGGCCTCACCCAGTGAAGCCCATGAGCTCCATAGAGAGCCAAGCTCCCATCAGTACCCGGGTAGTGGGAGAGATGTTGACTTATGACCGCACCCTGGGGAAGATGAAGGTACTGCATGTTGATATGTTTAATAATAATAAAACCAATACCTTTTTTATTTAGCTATTAAAACCAAAAAGTGATAGAATGCTGATGTCTGATGTGACACCGTTTTGTACCATCCTCAGGCACCAGGCATGGTGGAGAGTGGGCCCTACACCCAGCTGACCCAGGAGGAGTTGATTACCCTGGTGGTGAAGCAGCAGACGGAGCTCTCCAAGAAAGACTCCAAGATCGTTGAGCTGGAGGAGTACATAGACAACCTGCTGGTGCGTGTCATCGAGGAGAAGCCCAGCATCCTGCTGGGCCTCAACTCTGTCAAGCAGGCCCTGTAATGTATGAGGAGTGGACCAGGGAACTGTAAGATGGAGGGAGATATTTAGGCTTCCACTCCAACATCCCTTTTAGTTTGTGTGTGTGGTTTTCTATTACTGTCACTGTGTATTGGATCAAGCAATCTCTATGAAGGTCTTATTTCCTTTGAGCATATGCACTTTCTTTAGTCTCCATGAGGATTTGGACTAAGACTAAATCTCAAGGTTTCTTTTCAGAATGCTGGAATGTATGCTGAATTGTTTATGTTTTTTTCTAGATCTATCACTCCAGGCTACATGTGAATCTCACCATTAAATTATTTGACAAGCTTTTGAAAATGAATGGCTTGTTGTAACACTATGGTACTGGAATTCCATTTTATACAAATGTACTGTATGCGCACATTTCTTGTCATTGCTTTGGTAATTTTATGCTGTATAAAACCTAATTGGCCCTCATTAGGCAAAATGGAACTGGAAGCCCTAGGTATGTTGATGTCCATGTCACTGATGAAATTTCTCTGGCCAGGCCTTTGCAGAAGGGATTCCATGTTGCTTACAATTTAGTGGACATTAATTAGGCCATCTAGCTAGTTATACTTTGGTATCTGCTCATCCCAAAGCCTTAACACATCACTTCAACAATAATAATATGCTGGTTAGTGTTTATTTTGTTGCATTCTTAAACCTTGAACTTCCATTGTTTTTCTAGGGGTTTTGTTTGATCCTTTTCTTTAAATGATCATGACGTGCCTTGGTGCTGCCGCTATACTTCTTGGTGTGTTCAATCAAACACAATCGTTAATCTAATACCAAATCAGATTATTGCGGGGCATGGTACAAGTACATTAACCTCTATCTGAAAGTCAATGTTGCCTCGTAGTGACATTTCAGATACACAACGGTCTTACCTTAGTTAGCCTAGTTTGTTGAAGCATTATTGAACCTGTGTCATTTAGGCTAGTTCACACAGGGTTTGATTGGAAATGCATATCTGTCAACATTCCTAATTTTAGTTACCTTTTTCCTTACTTTAGTTATTTATGCTTCCATCTCCCTTTGTTAAATGTTTAAAATGTGTCTAAAGGAGGAAACCATTATTTATGAAAGCAACGATGGATAGAGAACCAGCTATTTATTCCATGTTTGAGGCAATAATGTGGATTTGGTCATGCTAACAATGGATAGGGAGAGACCTGATGTTCACTGTTTTCTTTCTTCTATGTTTTAATTATCTACCCACTTGACTGTGCAGAGCACAACCTTTTTCGATTTATGCAAAATAATGTAAGTGCACAAACCATGTCAAATATTTTATGCAAGAGTAATGACTAAGTTCAAATCGATACACTTTAAGAAAGATCTTCCAATATAATTAACATTTAGGCATTATGAATGTGGTTGTGTTTCAAAATGAACCTTGTCCTTGTTAGATTGAATGCCTTTTTATTAAGCAGTAGGCTTTGACTAGCCTTACAACTTGTGTAAATCTCTACGTCTCTGAATGTAATCTACTCAATGTATCTTCGGCAACTATGCCTTTGTGAAATGTCAGCAATAAGAAACTATATAAATCATAAACATTTCTGATTGTGCCTTCAAGGACTTTACTCATAAGACATTGTGATTACTGTAAATCTGTTTTCCTTAAGATGGTTGCACCTTTTTATGTTTACTGGTGTGAAATTCAGTGTATGTGAACACAATAGTTGATATTTTCAATTGAAATAAAGTACAGTAAATCATGAAATGTTTTGTGTACGCTATTAGAGGAAGCTTGAAGACTTATAATAGAAAAGTATTAACGTATAATACTAGATGTAGGCCTATGAGCCACCTAGAAATTGTGAAGTTAATTGAAACTACTTTATCTTACGTTAGTTCAATAGATACAAAAGTATGTGGACACCCGTTCAAATTAGTGGATTTGGCTATTTCAGCCACACCCGTTGCTGACAGGTGTATAAAATGGAGCACGCAGCCATGCAATCTTCATAGACAAACATCGGCAGTAGAATGGCCCGTACTGAAGAGCTCAGTGACTTTCAATGTGGCACCGTCATAGGATGCCACCTTTCCAACAAGTCAGTTCATCATATTTCTGCCCTGCTAGAGCTGCCCCAGTCAACTGTAAGTGCTGTTATTGTGAAGTGGAAACGTCTAGGAGCAACAACGGCTCAGCCGCGAAGTGGTAGGCCACACAAGCTCACAGAACGGGACCACTTTAGCGCATAGTGTGTAAAAAATAGTCTGTCCTCGGTTGCAACACTCGCTACAGAGTTTCATACTGCCTCTGGAAGCAATATCAGCATAAGAACTGTTCGTTGGGAGTTTCATGAAATTGGTTTTCATTGGCCGAGAAGCCGCACACAAGCCTAAGATAACCAATGCTCAATTCCAAGCATCAGCTGGAGTGGTGTAAAGCTCGCCGCCATTGGACTCTGCAGCAGTGGAAACGGGTTCATAAAATCTTAACGCTACAGTATACAATAACATTGTAGACAATTCTGTGCTTCCAACTTTGGGGAAAGCCCTTTCCTGTTTTAGCATGACAATGCCCCCCGTGCAAAAAGCGAGGTCCATACAGAAATGGTTTGTCGAGATCAGTATGGAAGAACTTGACTGGCCTGCACAGAGCCCTGACCTCAACCCCATCAAACACCTTTTGGGATTATTTGGAAAGCTGACTGCGAGCCAGACCTAATCGCCCAACATCAGTGCCCGACCTCCCTAATGCTCTTGTGGCTGAATGGAAGCAAGTCCCCGCAGCAATGTTCCAACATCTAGTGGAAAGCCTTCCCAGAAGAGTGGAGGCTGTTATAGCAGCAAAGGGGGGACCAACTCCATATTAATGCCCATGGATTTTGGAATGAGATGTTCGACGGGGTCCACATACTTTAGGTCATGTAGTGTAGATGGATGGATGGATGCTTTGGTCGTTTTCAATAAATGCATCACTCATTTTGCTACCTTTGTCAGAGATTGTTATTAGGTCTCCGAGATGGTTATAAATATAATCATGAATCTGAGGGGGGAAAAGTCACATTTCATCTGTGATAACACAGTCTTGCCTGACCTCTAGACGAGATTGCAGATACATGTGCTAATCTTCAGTACCTGCAGCCTGGTTTGTACAATTTCATCATTTAATGAGAGCTTTACAGCATGTTTGTTTAGACCATTGCTCTCAAGATATTGAGGAACTGTCTCTATTCACAGGTTTGTGGTTGGTAGAGGCTTATTTATTGTGAGTGCTTGTCAGCTTCATCTGGGTCACAGAACTCATTACCATGGTTTCTCACTTATTTGGTCTTATTAGAAGTGTCTGAAAATGAATCAATGAAAAGATCAACCACCCTGACATAAGGATAAGGTGTTGAATGTGTATGTGACCATGGCAACAATTATTCTCTTCAATCCTTTTCAAATGTTCTAATGGAGTCAACTCACAGCCCCTTCCTTATTGATACAAATGCGATGTGTTGATGAACAGAGATTTGATAATGGCATTAAAATCATGATCAATCAATTATTTTGGACTGCTCTTTCATACCAACTGTAGACTTGCTTTGCCAGACAAACATTCTTTTTTTGTTGTTGTATGGAATATTAAAACATGCAATCTACCTGCAGTGAAGCCGCTCAACATTTACATTACATTCAGTCATCTAACAGACTCCCATCCAGAGTGACCCACAGAAGCAACCAGGGTCAACGCCCTGCTCAAGGGCACTTCGACAGATCTCCCACAAGGTCAAAAAAACGGGGACCGGAACCAGCAACCTATCAGCCACCGGCCCAAGCTCCCAACCGCCAGGCCACCACCCCCCCACAGTTCCCGAGAGCTGCCCCTCAACCATCCGAGTTCCCCCCGATTTTCTTTTTTAATAAAATCAAATAATTTCAGTCTCCTCTGAACAGTTGATGGTGAAATGTGTCTGTTACTTGAACTCTGTGAAGCATTTATTTGGGCTGCAATCTGAGGTGCAGTTAACTCTAATGAATTTATCCTCTGCAGCAGAGGTAAGTCTGGGTCTTCCTTTCCTGTGGCGGTCCTCGTGAGAGCCAGTTTCATTATTACCCTTGATGGTTTTTGCAACTGCACTTGAAGAAACTTTCAAAGTTCTTGACATTTTCCCGGATTGACTGACCTTCATGTCTTAAAGTAATGATGGACTGTCGTTTCTCTTTGCTTTTTTGATCTGTTCTTGCCATAATATGGAATTGGTCTTTTACCAAATAGGGCTATCTTCTGTATTACATTTACACCCCTACCTTGTCACAACATAACTGATTGGCTCAAATGCATTAAGAAGGAAAGAAATTCCACAAATTAACTTTTAAGAAGGCACACCTGTTAATTGAAATGCATTCCAGGTGACTACCTCATGAAGCTGGTTGAGAGAATGCCAAGAGTGTGCAAAGCTGTCATTAAGGCAAAGGGTGGCTATTTGAAGAATCTCAAATATAACATATATTTTGATTTGTTTAACACTTTCTTGGTTACTACATGATTCTATATGTGTTATTTTATAGTTTTGATGTCTTCACTATTATTCTACAATGTAGAAAATAGTAAAAATATAGAAAAACCCTTGAATGAGTAGGTGTGTCCAAACCTTTGACTGGTACTGTATATTGAGTTAATAAAGCTGCATACAAGCATGGTCTCTTTTTTGCTTTCTTGAGTAAGGCAGCTCCAAAATGCAGGTGTTTCAGCCTAGCTCCGTGCTTTCTGTGGTGGAGGGTAAGCCAGCGGAAAATACAGAGCGTAGGGGTTGGTAATCTTCTCTAGTTGCGCTGTGATTGGCTCAGTGTTCTGTCACTCATGGGGACACTACATCGCCACATAATCTACAGGGAGAGCTAGAAAGTTTAAGCCCCCTTGGGTGCTGCCATAGATTTACATTAGAAGTGCCGAAGTGCCCATCCAAGAAGGCTCAAGGTCATTGGCCACAGATAAGGTGATGTCAAATCATGTTATATCTACCGTAGCTTTGATTGGACTGATCATGTCAACATGATACTTTCCCGTGTGGCTCAGTTGGTAGAGCATGGTGCTTGCAACACCAGCATTGTGGGTTCGATTCCCACGAGGGACCAGTACCCAAAACAAAAGTATAAAAATGTATGCACTCTACTGTAAGTTGCTCTGGATAAAAGTGTTTGCTAAAATGACCTAATGACTAAAAATAAACATCTTAGCAAGACAAGCAGTTGTCATCATGAATCACGTCGACAATATACTGGTCAATCCTTATGAAGAGAAAACGTATCGGTGCTCATCGGCTATTGGACATAAACATTACTAAAAGTTTGAAATCGCAAATTCAACAATGAGTGCTTTGGAAGGAATCAGTTGCAAAGCAATCGCTATTTTGCTTCCCCTGCTTTATATTCGGTGGAGAGAGTGTGTGGTCCAAGTCTGGGTTTAATGGTCTCTTTTCTAAGCTTAAAAGGATAAACATTGACACGCAACACCATGGGCCAGATAAGGTTGAATACATTGGCCATGCTGTTGTAGTATCTAGACAATTTATGACTTTGCTGACGGTTGCAAATGGTGTCTTAGAGGATGTTGACTCAGCTTGTGGAAGCATCTGGAGAGCATTTCTATAGGGACACCCTAAAACAGAGGAAGTCTGTTATGTGGTGTCCTGGGATTGGTCTGTAGGGGAAATCAGGTTACATAGGATATATATACCTTGGTTGGGACAAAGGACTGAGAGAATAACATATTAAGAGATTGGGCCGGTTGTTCTCCAGATGTCTGCAGAAGTCTGTAAATTGGCACTGAAATCTTCAATGTAATAAATAATTATAATCGAGGACAGTGTCAGCGGATTCATTGTCATCACAGCATCTCAGCATCGTTTTCTCGACACTACACTGTCAATCCAGAATTACTTCTGCCGCGTTCAAAACAACTGAAAACTCTGAACTGGGAAATCTCAGACTTCAGTGTGTTCAAGACAACTAGGAACTCTGAAAAAACGTAGCTCCGACTGGGAAAATAAGTTTTGAACGGTAATCCAACTCGGAATTCCAAGTCGGGGACTCAGGCCTCTTTATAGAGCTCCAACCTGAAGATCACTGACGTCATGATTCGACCTTGTTTTATTTCCCAGAGATCCCAGTTGTCTTGAAAGCACCATAAATAAAGAGAATTCCAGACTTTGATGACAAAGTTTCATGACAAAATTTGCCCACAAGAAGGCCCACTATTCCACCTTCCTGTTCAAGTGAGCACAGCACAACGGTGAGTCCAAAAATGTATTGTATGCTGCTGCATAAATGATGTAATATGCCAGGGAGATATGTATACTGTAGCCAAGAAAGTAATACTAAGTGTATGTTGTGCAGTAAGCTGTTAGTAGCTCATGTGCCTCACCCTAATAATTTGGTCCCTTTTCCCCCCCTGACTTAGCCTACGGTTCTGACTTGGTGGTGCACATGTAGCCTATAGCCTGTTTTAGAGGAATGTCATCATCGAATCGTGTAAAAGCTTTCATTATCTGCTTATATGCCCCATTTATTTATCCTACGGTTCTGACTTGGTGTGCATGGAGAATACTGTAAGAACGGCCCATGTTCTGAATTATGTCGCTGTACATTTCAAAAGTGCTGAACAAATAGTAATATTGACTACGTTCGTCTTAGCTCGCTCATTGTCTTAATCGAAATCACGGATTGCCTCTTATCCGCTCATCATTCCCTTATGCCATGGTTTGAACATCTCAATTGTCAGTAGAAACCACATTTGTTTAAGCAAGCCAGCCATATCAGCTATGATTTTTTAAAAGGCAGTAAATGAGGCTGAATGAACTGTTTCGCTGCCAGACAAGGCTC